ATTTTGTGATTGAAAAAAATTAAATAGTTAACCAAACAGGCAATTCAATCGACTAAAATTAATATCAATCAATATGATTGTGGTGTGTCTATAGTAATGAAATAGTGGTGCTACATGTAAAAGATTTTATTTTGCTTGCTAACAATTACTTGAAATAAATAATGACACGACAAAACAATTTGTACTCAAAAATGTTAGCTTGGCCAGGTAAAGATTTCATACTAAAATTAAAGGCACTGACTATATGGCAACAAAATTGCATGCACTATAAGCAATCAAACTTAAGTGCCATAAATATGGTATGCTTATATTAATGCCATACAATTTAGAAAATGCTTTATACAGTAGAGTGTACCTGAGACTGAAGGTCTTCAGTAAGTTTCTTTTGCTGGTCATGCTTCTTTTTCTCTTCTCTAGCTGTAAGTTGATTCCCTTCTTCAATCTTCTTCAAAAGTTCTTCTCTTCTTTCTATATTTTCTAGCTGCTCTCTCTTTATCCCAGCTATCTTCTCTTCAAGCTGCTGCTGTCTTCCTTCAATAACTTCAGCCATCAGAGCTTCCCTTGCTCTCCTTTCTCTGCCCCATTCTGCTTCTCTGTGTGACCATTGTCTCTCTGCTTCTTCTCTGCAGCAAAAATATACATATGACACATTTTGGTAGAAAAATATAGTCATACATGCAGTCAGAATAAGAATCATCAATACACTTATACAGCTCTTGTAGCAGTTTAGCTAGCTTACTGCATAAAAGCTACTTGTATATGGTCAAGCCTTACATTACAGTTATAGTAGCCCAACCTTACAATTTAATACCAATAATAATTATTAAGCATGATGCATTGCAACATGTACATTTATTTTATCAAAAACTTGCACACATTTTTACATATAAACAGTATGTATGAGAATAAGCTCCTACAGAATGCTTTTACCTATACAAATCATCTAGATCTTTCTCTCGCTGTCTCTCCAGTTCCAGTTGCTGTCTCATTATGTCCCTCATCTCTTGAGCGTCCAGTCTTTGCTTTTCTTTCTTCTTCTCCTCATTCTCTTTCCTTTCATTCTCTTCCGCTGCTAGTCTCTCTAGGATTTCAATATCTAATCTCTAAAAGTTGATAATGATAAATAAATTGTAAATAAATAATAAATCTACATATACATGTACATGCACACATAGAATCCAACCATACATACATGTACGTGTATGTGGATTGTATGGAAAAATAACTAATTTCATCAAGATAAACAAATTTTGATGTAAAATAAAACAAACTAAATTGCTTAATCAACTTAGACAAGTCCACAAATAATAATAATAATACTTGTATAAATTTTGAGCCTTATTTTCACACAGCATACATGTAGAATAATGTACATGTACATGTATAGTGGGTAATTTTGGAGGGGCAAATTGCTAAATTTTGGTGATTGGTGGATTTTTAATTTGGCGAATTTCTGGCCACGTGCCATTGAGCATGCGTATAATGGCTCAAAATGGTGGATTTTTATTTTGGCAAATGGCTATCAAAACGCTAAACTCGCCAAATTTAATCCCCTCCAAAATTACCCGCTATACGGTATACTGTGAACTACAGTAGCATAATCCACAGTCCACACACATGAAGCAGGCTTCAATAGAGCCTGGATGCTCTTCATAGGTATTACAATGTACATGTGCAATGTACATGTATTTTCTCTTGACAGCATGTCCATGCATGTACATGTACATGCATGTAATTTAAATACATACTAATTTTAGTGGTTTTATTAAATGTTTTGGAGGCTACGGTTTTAACAATGTAACTTAATTTTAGTAATTAATGAAATAAAATTTAATGTTATTATTGTGTGCATCACAAACAAAAACTAATCTTTAACTGATTAAAATTCATAAACTTACCAAACTTTCCTGCACTTGCTGTGATTTCCTTCTCAATTGAGCTTTCACTTGATGCATCAATCTTCTCCTATTGTATGATATTAAAGTGTCAACACATGGGGACTTCATCATTTTAAAAAATAAACATACAATGTAAATGCCTAAGATCATAAAGAGTTCATGTAGCTTACCCAATATCTTGCTGTTTCTGTTTCCTTTCAAGCTCTCTTCTTTCACCTTCCTATTATAATACATGTACATGTATACTGTACAGTAACAGTATGTGATGTCACCAGAAAATTTCAAAGAACAGTGAACTACATGTATTTTACATGCATATTAAAATTGCAGTGTTATGTTTTGTACAAGCATGTAGCTGTGCCCCAGCCTCTAACACAATCTGGCTTAATTTGCTGCACCATCTTATGTATAAATGTAAGCATAACTTCATTCTTTGCAATACCTTGATGCAGTGGCGTAGCCAGGGTTATGATGGTGGCAGGGCACACTATGGACAAGTGAACTTCACATACAATTTATAGACAAGAGAACAGTCAGAACACTATGACAGTTGGCAGGGCACAAGCATAGACTGGTAGGGCATGTGCCCCACTGTGCCCTACCCTGGCTAAACCACTGCCTTGATGCCACACACACTCTTCTCTCTCACTACTGTTTGGTTTAGCTCTTACTGCATCTTCCAATGCAATCTTCTCTTTAACAAGTTCAAATTCTTTCTTCTCTAGTTCAGCTGCTTCTTCTTCTCTCTCTTTTACTTCTAGTAGCTGATTCTCAAGAGCTTTCTTGAGCTCTTCTTCCTTCCTACACAAAAATTAAAAAGACAATATTAGAGAAAGCCATACTTGTAGCAGCTACGTGTAAAAGTACCATATATTGCCTAATAAAGTGACAGCCACAACTAAAATTGAAACACAAACATGTACAACTATTACAAGTAAGGCTGCGTTTACACTACTCCACTCCACTGAATCCGAATAGTTTTTGCTATCACTGGTTTTAGGTGTTTACACTAATCATTCGTTTACAGAAGTATCCGCTTAGGTATTCGTTTTCAAATGTCTCCAGATAAGTATGCCTTTTGATGTGTTTTAGTGTAAACGAAAGCTGTATCCGTGACTAAAAGTCTCTGTTTTCCAGTGAAACCGGAGTAGAGTAAACGCAGCCTAAGACATACATCTACGTAGTCTACGTATTATCAAAAGGCTTCTTTTTTGGGTATACATGTACACGTAGTCAAGTAGTAAATAAACAAATGATCATACATGTACGTATGTATTCCATTAAAAGCTTGCTGCATGAGTAAGCATACAGGGGGTATACTTTACGAGGATTTAATTTCACCAATTTCACAGTTTTAAAAAACTTGTAATAAATTTTATCCATGAAAATTATTTTTTGTCATACTAATAATGGTCAGTAGAAGAAAAACACAAAAAATTTTTCTTGTGAATAGGTTGAAAAGTGATTTTCGTAAAATATTTTCCACG